ATACTCAATTACTAACTTTGTTTGATAGTTAATAAAGTCGAGAATCTATAAAAGAAATTGTGCTAACCGCAGTGGATCAAAACACCCCGATTCACTTTGTTATTCAATAGATTTCCAACTTTAAAACTAGGCATTAAGATTGAAAATTTGTAATTAAAGGAAGATAGAAGAATAGCTTGACATGCTGGTATCAATAAATAATGAACAGTTTAAATTAAACGTCAGTTCTAGTCTGTTAATTACTAGTATTAATTAATAAGCAATAGTTTAGCTCATTAATCTGTGATTATTAAGGTACACCACTGGGCCAGTGTGTGGTTTCAAATGAATTGTACTACTCCTTTCAAACGAATTCTGACGGCTCAGGGTTGATCTCTTTTCAATATCAGGTATACTAGATACAGTAGTCTATCAAGATACAAACTAAATTGTTTAATGAATACAAGTAAATGAAATAAAATGAAATGAAATCCTCAATGCAAAAGGTGGTTAGTGTTATAATTTTGAAGATTTAACAAGTTGCGTGAGACATAAATCTATATTTTTGCTTTACTTCCAAGAAACTAATAAAGTAATTATTGTAATTCTATACAATTTGTGTGGATAATATGCGGTGTGCGTGCAAATTATGTTCAAATGATAAAATAAGCTGTTTGTGTTCAGTTTTATATAGCGGGTAATGATTCTGATTTATCACGTATATAATAATACTTAGTTAAGTTAAAACTTAATTTTAAACAATAACAAAGCATGAAAAACCATACCTCAATCAAAAGATGAAAATATTATTCGTGATGAATAAAATCAGAGATTTTATTACGAAACCCCAAGTATGGCGAAACCGCCGGGGTCGTGCGGTCCATGGCCCTCTACGGCGCCCCTGTTTGGGCGCCGAACCTGTTGCGGCGTCCCGCTCGGACGCTGCTCATGGCACAGAGGGTCATGGCGATCCGAATGATCCGCGAATACCGCACGATCTCTGGGGAGTCGGCGAACCTCCTTGCCGGATTACCGCCGTGGGATCTGGAGGCGAAGGTGCTCGCGCGCGTGCACAGCATGCGCGCGGAGGCACGTCGCCGGGGCGAAACTCCGCTGCCGCGCCAGATAAGTGCGTGGCGGGATGAGCTCCGGCGCGATCTCATGGCGGAATGGCAGCAACGACTGTCGCAACCGAGGGCTGGGCTCGCTGCCATCGCAGCGGTAAGTCCCCTCTTTGAGGAGTGGCTTGAGAGACGCTACGGCGTCCTCACCTACCGCCTGACGCAGGTCCTCACCGGACATGGAAGTTTCGGGAGGTACCTGTGTCTGATGGGGCGGGAGGAAACGCCCGGGTGTCATCACTGCGAGGACCGCCCTGAGGACACGGTGGAACACACGGTGGGAGAATGCCCTTCGTGGGCTGAGCACCGCCGTGTCCTCAGGGAAGTGATCGGCGATGGCGACCTCTCGCGTCCGGGCCTAGTGCAGGCCATGATGCGGAGCGAGGGGGATTGGGATGCCGTCTCCTCCTTTTGCGAAGCAGTCATGCTAGCTAAGGAGGAGGCGGGACGCGTGAGGCAGCGAAGCGCTGCCTCCTCGCAACCCAGCCATCGCGAAGGACACACCGGGCGTCGGGGATCGCGGGACGATCTCCGGCCACCGTAAGCGCGGGCCTGCGGACGGCGAGCATGGGTGGCTCCCCGTCCGACCAGAAACAGACCCGAGCGTACGGCGCGTCGCGTTCCGCGCGCGCCTCAAAGAGCCATCAGACCACCACAGATGGGGCCCAATAGGGCCGATGCCGATTCGGAGTCGCGGAGAACCTAACGGGTAACCGGGGCTCCGGCTCGACGTGCAGGAGAAGGAACGGGGTGGTTTTTAGTCAGTAAGAGTCTGACACTCCCTCCCGCCTCACCCAGGCGGGGGCAGTCATTCGATGATTTTCCCCCCTTAAAAAAAAAAAAAAAAAAAAGTATGGCGAAACCATTGCCATATTACGCTCAGTAGATACATTACTCTTCTTGATTTTCTGCTACTAAACCAAAAATCAAAAACAGTTATAGCACAGTTTTTCATTTTTTTAAGTCAGCAGTGCGTTTTTAAGGTCATGTACCGTGACCAATATTTTTATAATATGCCTGGGTTAGGTAGGATGAAATAGCGTGGCGGTAACCGTAGCACCGGGACAACTACTACCAGATATAATATTTTATTATTCTGTGTCAATAAAAATATTTTTACTTTTATTAATACGGTATGCGATCCAGAAATCATACTTTTCCACCTGTCAAGTTTGCGAGCTCCGAACCGTCATAACTTCTCAATTATTTTTCTGCGTGAGAACCCACGCACTACCAAACAGTGTAACGTTAACAAATGACTAACGGACAATTCCATTTGCACACAAAAGAAACTATTTTAACTTTAACTATTGAACTCTTAACATTTCTACAGCTTTGGATAATTTGTCAAGATTAAAATGAACACGACAATTATAATTAAAATGAAAGATGATTTAGTAACCACAATCAAGATATATGTTGAGATATTACATTGGACATTGGGTATATTGAGAGGATCGACAAAGGTAGGATTAAGAAAAGATAAATAATGAGTAGTGGACATTATATTAACACTGATTGAGGACAGATTTTGGAAAAATCCCAAGGCTAATATGACCAGATGCATGAATATGATGGAAACCAAACGAGTCAAAACGAAAGCATTTGTCTAAAAAAAAACATAAACTAACTATAATAATTATGCTTTTCAAAAGTCAACAACTATAAAAATAGTCTTTCTATCAGTGAACTCCATGTTCCAAATAATCCAGAAGCAAGCGAGGTGCCAGTAAATGGCGGTCTGTAGTTTCTGCCTCTAAGATTTTTATACCATGACGGTTGCAAAAAAGCACACGGCCCACCTGATGGTAAGCAGTTACCGTGGCCTATATACGCCTGCAACACTTGGGGCATTACATGCGTCTTGCGACCCTTAAACTGTCAAACACCAAGCGGTCACCGGTGACCACAACCTATTGTTCTATAATTGTGTCTATAATGACGGTACTCGACGAGTTAAGAAACCTATTCACTCCTCTCTTGAAGAACCCCATGTTGTAACCCACTGGAAAAATCACGGCAAGGACTTCATTCCACAATCGGAGGGTCCGTGGGAGAAAATTCCAAAATTTTACAGATTGACATGAATTTAGCATTCATACTACAATTATTAATACAATTATATTGTAATACAATTATTTCATTCAATAATGCAAAGCGTGTCCACGCATTCATGGCTCCTAACAAATTGCCTTAAGGGACAGACATCTCATTCATACAGAGCGGTGTCAACGTCTTGCAAGAACTAGTATTACTCGTTTCCATTAAAGGGTTTATTTGTACCGGATTTAGTTTTTATGTTCTAGTGATCATCTGGAATACTTTTATTTACTTAGATTGTATATATTTTCATACTATTGTCACTGCCTGTCTCACATTTGAGATAATTCTCTTGTAATCTGGTTATCCTTTCTTCTTTCGCTTTATTCGTATTCATTAGGTTCTTCATAGATGCTTGTTGATTGAGTATGCTTTTAATATTGCTCTTTTTTGCGTCACCATTCTGGTCTCTTCCTAAATCAAATCCAAATATGGTGTAGAGTTATCATGCATCCTCGCCCAACTTTTTTTTTATCAATTCTTCTACTTCGACACCACATTTTTCTTTGTCTTTTGATATTACATCATTCATGTTAATCCTTCATATTGCTATAATAATAGTATTCTAACGGCATAATAAAATATTTTATTAGTTAGAAAGCACGACGATCCAAGCGTATCCTTATCTAAATGGGTGAATATTTTCTATCTTAATGGTTCCTCGAGAAATCCGATACTATAAATATTTTTAAAACAGGGCAATCATTACATAAAAGACTTATGTAAGAACGTAAGGTTGGTAGTAAGAATAGAAGTATCAATGTTAATGGGTCTTTGATCACTTTCTGAAGCTTTTTCTTTTTTCCTAGGAAATATTTTGCAATGCTAGTCGCTCCAATGAATCAAAGACATACAATTTTAAAGAAACCATGGTATCTATCATAACTTCGTTAGTGTCATAACATCATCTGCCTAACAAACCATATCCAATTTACTAGGATAAGAAAAAACGTGTCATATATTTCCAATGACACCTCACTTTCACTAGAAAAGTACAGTAAGTCTGCTTTCCAAAATGTGGCGTGAATATATAGTACGCTTTAGTTTCTGATGGTCCAGAATATAAAATTTTATACAATTTTGAACTTGAACGCTTGCTAAATATTAATTTCTTCCTTGCTTCGGCAGAATTTGTATCACGAGTCCTCGAAAGTATTTTCAAAATGGACAGTACCTAAAAAGTCTAAACTAGCTTCTGCTAGCGGCTTCGCTCGCATCCCCGTCGGATAGAAAGTAGCCTATGTGTAATTCCAGACCATAATATAGCCTATTTCAAATTTCATCTCGATCACCTCAGACGTTTTGACAGGAAGAAGTAACAACCATACAAACTTTCGCATTCATAAAATTAGTAGGTTGTATGGTAATAAAATTTGAGATCGTATGTTATAAACTCACTAATGAAAACCACAAACATTCAAATACTTTCAATTTTCACATTTATCATTTTTCATATTACGATCATCACTGATTTATGAGTGTATCATTAAATTTACATAAATTATGAGCCTCTTCTTAATCGGCTCATACTTATATGAGTACTATTTCCTTTTAATAATAACATCACATTCGATTTATTCTCAGTTACCGAAGAGACTTTCAAGAGAGCAGACGTTTATATGGTTTTATTTATATCTAAATTATATTCTACAATTTATTTATTGGTCATCAAAATGTAAATATTCATTTTTATAACTGTTATTCAATGTGTTATGTGATCGAAAATATTCATTGTAGCTTTTGTTTTTAAATTAACATCTCAGTCACAGGCTGTCAACTAATATAATACATTTGTTACAGATGAAACGACGACAAGATCAACACAAGATAATCTGACCTGTCAACAAGATTCAGAATAACTTTCCAAAATTTACAATTCACAAAACGTCAAGAGAATGGAATTATTCCACATAGACGTGAGTAGATACCACAGCAGACCACACGTGTGCAAGAAATAGAAAAAATAGTAATAAAAAAGAAAACAGTGATGATCTGACAATGGCTGGAAATAATGAAGATAGAAATAAAAACAAAATGTGTGTCAATACGATAGCAAAGTTCATACTAATAGTTTTAATTAGTGTTAAACAAGTACAGTGTAGTGAAGACGATGAGATAGCGAAACGAATGAAGATTATAGAGAGTGTATCAGGTAGATATTTTAGTGACGTTTATCAGAATGGGACATTTAGGACTGGGAATGTGTTGTGGGACGATATTTTGAACAAGTGTACTGTGACTCCATCAGTGAGCTGTTTACAGAAGAATGTTTACACTTACCTTGATGATAGGCTAGGGGTGAACGGTGATGTGGAAGTGACTAGTGGTGTGTGCTTCAAGAAGAACAATGTGGACATCAACAAGTATAGCAAGGAAGCTAATACTATCTACCTCACTGGCACTGATAGTGCTGAAGAGAAGGCGAGGTATTTGGAGGAGGAGAATGAAGTGGATAGTGATGAACCAGGTGAGTGTTTATTTGTAGATAGTAGTACCTATAAGCTTTGCGTTGTGGTAAAACTTGAATTGTATTTAGTGATAGTGTATAAATTGTTATCACTGTAGTTCCTTAGATTATGTATTACGAAATTGATGGTACTGAATCTCAAAACACAATTGAATTAGATATACTAGGATCTTGTTAGAACGGGTGATTTTATGGTTTGATTTTTTGGTCAGTCAGAGAAAATAAGTCAGTTCTAGATATTTAAACTTATCTATTGCTTCTAAATTAAAGAGGTTTAGAGCACTCGTGCAAAATCAAGTTACATGCAAGTACCTAGAGAAATACTGAACAAAAATAAATGAGCCAAGAAGCACACTACTGACATACTAAGATTTCTCTAGAAGACAAACATATTGTCGACACTTTGATGTATCATTGAGACTTAAGGAAACACAGACACGGTGAAAACACATTTGTTTATACACAATAAGCAATTCATGTCGTGTTCGCACACACGATAACAACCAGTATAAACTGACCGTTCAATGTGCAGAAAGATCATATAAAGCGAGACCATGATAAACTGGTTATCCATAGCTTGATGTACTATGTAAGAACCAGTGTATCTAAAGCTCTGGTCACGAAGGAAATGTTTTATGTCTTAAACTGGTTTGTTCACTTTCGTTCCGGTTGTGTGACAACTTTTTTATGTTATGATTAGTTACATTTTGGTTTTTGTAGTGTGTGCATTGTTGATGGCCTTGAACTTGGATTTTGATAGGAAAATGTACTTTATATTAAGCGCAATTTCAAACACTAAGGGTCATATTTCCTTGGCTACATGGACTGCAGAACCAACAATTGATTTAGTCACCAATAACTAATCGGTTATGTTATTGATGACGATCCGGTCTAAGTCTTGTTTCCAATCCCTACCCGGAATAAATGACCAAAATTAATGTGTTGGCTGGAAAGAGAAATTCCATTAATTTTTTCATAAAATCGATGTTTTTGAGGGAAACTTCAATCTTCAGAAAATACCATTCGTAATCTTACACAATAATAATTAAATATGAAATCTATATAATAATATATATAGAAATAAATTCCTTTTTCCCTTGGTGACGGCACCACGCGTGACTGGCTGTACCGATTTCACTAATTATTTTTCTGTTGTATTTGTTATTATCAGGGGAAGGTTCTTAAGTCTTGAAAATCCTACGGGAACAGGAGAAAACGGGATTGCGCGTACGAAGTCGCGGGCAGAAGCTGGTATTTGTATAAATAAATTGTCCAGTCACCACGGAACGGTGGACTTTCTTTCACCTGGGTCATAACGTTTCGGATGGAAGTGAAGTGTCAATGACATTACATAAAGCCTTGATCTTGTCGACTAGTAGAGATATAATGAATAACATTCACTAGCTCATTAATAAAATAGAAATGATTTAATTATGACTGCGATGTTATGGCACTACTTAACCAAGTATTCACTGTATGAAGAATTGTTGTCATAGATTTATTGACGTCAAGTATAAACTATATTATGACACAACGTAATAGTGCATTACCATTATCATAAGACGTTTATTGCTGTACATAGGCTACCCTCAACGACTTCTAGATTGACTGGCTGGAAGCGACATACTCTGGAAGTATTACTCAAATAATACTTACATATAATTTGTCTAAGAGTTTGACCGCAATAAACTCAAAAACTACTGGACGTAGATATTTTTGTACTGTTGCAATTCCTGGTCAAAACTAAAGTCATTTATTTCAATTAGACCAGGAAGGCACTTTTGAACGTCGACAAAAAATCAATGTCGTAGATTTCTATGGAGAAGAACGAGCAAGAAACTCTTTTTTTTTTCAATCAGGTTTCATAATACAATTCTCTTATTATATGGCTGTATTGGTTCGATTGTGCGAGAACAATGTAACACCAAAATCCAGTCAAAGAGATTGAACCATATATTATATTTCTTTGTAGGTTTTAACTACAACTGCAAAGCTGCTAGCGGGAAATTCATCAAAATTACCTAATTAGTATTCATTATCAAAATCGAAACTTACCAAACTATACAAATAGCTCAAATGAAAGAAAAATTAATGCTACAAGATGATAACAACAATAAAAAACTAGATGTCACATTGCATTGACTTACAAACAAGTTCCATTACAAACCCACGCTACACACCTGTGCCTGTGGCCATAGCATCAACAGCTATGGTACTCATGGTTGTAGACAGTATTAACTGTCTCAAGGTCAGCAGCAATATGAATGACTTTCGTCTCGATATAAAGAGAAATGTATAATAAATTATTATGTTTTCGGCTTACTCACGTAATAATATGTGACGAGGAGGAAGAAAAGTGTGAGTTGACGGAATGTTCCCGAACTGGTTTTTTTGTAAAGTATTCTAAGTACTACCTCGTTGGCCGAGTGGTCGCAAGTGCGAGGGGTCTCGGGTTCGATTCCCGGATCGGGAAAAGTATTACTGGATTTTAAAAAAATTTCAGTACTAGCACGGAGTCTGGAAATGTTCCCGGTACCTTTAGGGCAATAGGCTCACCCCCTATTACATTGGTCTAGTATAAACAGTGAAAAGTGGGTGTTACATTGTACAGTGTCATTAACTGGCCTAATGTGCATCAGGCTACCTCTTCGAGGATAAAAGGCGTGATGTTGTGTTATATTTTTAAGTATTTCATGATTCGATTATAGTATGATAAGTAGTAATGTTGGTATATATGGGAAAGCTTGAAAGTGACGATGGATGGGAAAATAAAAGTATAAATATGGTTAAAAGTCAAGTCAACAAAAAGCCAGTTTATATCTTTAACCGACTTCAAAAAGAAAAGGAGATTCTTCTCAGTCTGACCTGTGTATGAATGTATGAATGTGTGGGTGTATATATGCACGTTTGAGCGCGAATATCTCGCGATTGGATAAACCGATTTTGATGCGGTATTCAGAAAAGTTTCTCAGTATATTAATTAACTGACTCCAAAAAGAAGATGTTGAAGACAGTTTTTTTTTTAATATAGTTTATGATCAATGAATTACCTTTTAGTCATTTAGTAGCCCTGTTTGGTTGGTAATATAGTTATTTATGTCGCAGAAAACCTAACGGGTAACCGGGGCTCCGGCTCGACGTGCAGGAGAAGGAACGGGGTGGTTTTTAGTCAGTAAGAGTCTGACACTCCATCCCGCCACACTCAGGCGGGAGCAGTCATTCGATGATTTTCTCCCCTTAAAAAAATATATATAGTTATTTATATTTTATCTCATAATTAGTTTAAGTTATTTCGATTTTATTCTACAACAATGTAATTATGATCCAGTTATTTACTGTTTTGACAAACACCTATAGAAAAATCTTTCATAATAACGAATATTAGACCTTTCTATGACAACCAGGCATAAATACTAAATTCACAAAGCATTTGACACTTAAACCGCAGTCTTCGTAATCAATAGTTTAAAAACAAAGGTAATTTTTGTTTCGTCATACTTTTGGTTTAACCTTTAGCCATACTGGATCAAGATAAACTTTGCTATAAACTCTTTAAATCTAGTTTAAAGTAACTCTTTTATAAACTACGTTTTAAAAAACCGACCTCGACACGCTCTTTTTTTTTTAAATTTTGTATACTCGTCGAGTACCGTCATTATAGACACAATTATAGAACAATAGGTCGCGGTCACCGGTGACCGCTTGGTGTTTGACAGGTTTAATGGCCACCATTATTGTACCAAAAATATGCTGTGTCATCACAATGGTTAGCATTATATCATAATAAAGTAACCTTCCAATTATCATCAATACTCTAATTTAATTATCACTTTTTTCTTCTATTCTGCCACTTTCATTTTTTTAGCAAGAACCATCATCTGTGAAGACTGTAAATTAATTCATTGCAAACGTGATTTCGAAAGCATTTTGCATTCCACAGTGAAAGCAAAATAAACTAACAAACACACTACACAACAACCACCTTATAACTCATAGAATAAGGTTGAAAATCGCACACATTTCCGTGAAACGTTTCTTCGTGTCCGCTACCAAAGTATTTACGGTTGCTGTAATTCTTATTGCGTGTGAAATAAGGGTTACATTTGATTGCGCAACTGTTGTTATAATGTTGTTATGTTGGCGTGAGGCATGCTTGAAGAAAAAGTTAAGCATGTTCTAATGTTCGTTTTAGGTGCTACAATTTCTATGAGCTAGGAATGCAGGAACATTGATCACTATACTATTGTTACGGCTGTGGTACAATCGATGAATGGAATGTATCTAGCTTTTGTACTACTACATTGATAGTACTGTGATATAGATATGACCTGTAGATATTATTATGTCTAAGTATGTTTGTATTTTGTTATTGTTGAGGTCTTTGCGATATATATTGTTTTTCTTTCTTTCTCTCTTACCACGGGACTGCTTTGAGGGAAAACAGGGATCGGAAAAGAAACATTTTTTCAGTTTGGGGATTGGTCAAAAGAGACTTTATGGTTTTAGGACTTCAAAATTATCACTGTTGTAGCCTTTTTTAAGAGGGGAAAGTCATCGAATGACTTCTCCCGCCTGGGCGAGGTGGGAAGGAGTGCCAAAGTTTTACTGACTAAAAACCACCCCATTGCTACTCCTGCACATCGACCTAGAGCCCCAGTAACCCGTTAGGTTTTCTGCGGTATCACTGTAGTAGCCTTAACTCTGGAATTGTACTCAGGAGATGTCAATACATAAAAACTTTTTGAAATACTTTCTCATATTTTGTTAATACTGAACTAGCATGCTTATTTCAAGTAATAACATAAATCTCGACTTGGAAAGCTACTCCTCAAGAATTCTGCAGCTCCTAAACTTTTACTAATTCCGTACAGAAAGCTATTTCTCCCAAAAGCGACAACAGCGCCATAAAAACTCCATCAATTTCTTAACAAAAAAGCAGAAAACATATTATGTCAGTACTTATATTCTAATGGAAATTCCCAATACTTTCTCTCGACGTG